TTTGAATCACTTTTGTTCCACAACCTTGGCAAAAAACCATGCTACCGATAACAACGAGAGCCACAACGAGAAGAAAGGAAGACATTGGAGAGAAAATGGCGGGAACGGCGGGAACAGCCAGGCGCTAATGCCCAGTGCCCACCCAGGCTAATGCGCGCGCACACGTTTGAACTTTCTACGGAAGTGTTCCATTTCTACGGAAGCATTGAAGTTCTACGGAAGAGCTACATTTCTACGGAACAGCGACGGCTTATACCACGGAAGAGCTAGATTTCTACGGAACAAGCTCGCGACTGTTTCCACAGAACAGCTATTTTTCTAAGGAACGATCGCAGATTTACAAGGAACGATTGCAGAATTCTAAGGAAAGATGTTCAATTCTAAAAATAACAGTTGTATTTTTACAGAACGACACTACATTTTCAAGTAGAAGCGTTGTCCCTTGTGGGCCACCGTACAACACTCTACCTCGAGTAATTCTATTGATTTTGCGCACCATCCTCTTGCTATTTTGCTTTACTATCTTTCTCCGCGTGTTCCGCGACTCAATTTTACCGTTCACAATCTTTTATGAATGTTCCCTTTGTTCGAAATCGTATCAAATTTTGGGGGTGTTGCGGCATATCATGTTAGCCAAAACGCCTCCAAGTCAAACCTCGGGCGTGTTTTCTTTTGTCTTAGTGGGCTTTTATTTACTGCCAAAAGATTTTGTTCTTTTGTTTAGAAATACTTGCACGGTTTCCTCATTCAATACCTACTTTTTCTCATCCCTGCCCTGTATTTTTGCTTGAAATCTGATGAACAACAGCATTTTGAAATCTTGTACATGTGTATATTATTGCTCTTGCTACACAAACTTTATTTGTCCTGAATTTTTGAAAACAGGTTAGATGAGCTGATGAAGCAAGAGATAAACAAAGTAAAGCAAGGAAGAGGAATTAAAAGAAGGGGCAGAAAGAAGAAGGGTACTGTATTTATGATTCTTTTTGGAAATTTCATGCATCAGTCAATTCCAGCTGCGCTTAACCCCCTCTTGATTCTGGGAATTTGCCTTCAAAGACAAAAAAATACTAATGCCCGGGGGGGCAGCCTAGGGGTGGAGGGAGGGGGGTTTCTGGGTGTAGCTAGAATTGGCTGATGCAGTTTTGCAGGCTGGTGCAAATTAATTAAGGTTAATAGTACAGTTTCGAGCTTGGGAAGACATTTTTGAGACACCTGGTGTTTCCAGCCCAGGGGGCAGGTCTACATGACTGAAAATGTTTTTTCGCACTGGCAATTCATGATAGGCAAAATGGCTAGCTTTGATTGCTGTGTTGATGGACAGATGAAAATGTTTCATTTTTTTTCCATGATTAGGTCACAGCGCACTCCATAAAATGCTTGAGGTATAATAATAATAATAATAATAGTGAACTTTATTCAAGTGTCGTGTAACTTTAGCATGGTGTTTGAAATTGGGGACACCGTAACATAAAAAACAAAATATAAAAAAATATGCACTTAGATGTGTGTGAATTAAAAAAAAACAAATATATACATACCATGAGTAAAAGAAATATAGAGTTATGTGTATATGAACATTAAAAATTGTAGGATTATAGTTTAAGAATGACATAGAAAACAGCCAGTTGGACATTTCTCAAGCAAAAAACTTTCCAGGTCTATGTTCTTAATTTTTCTTTCAAAACTGTTCAAGTCACATTGTGTCTGTCGATTTCGTGGTAATTTGTGCCAAATTATGCTCAATAACAAAGTAGCACAAATGCTGCTGACTATTTAAAAGTTCAAGGTACAGCTGTGTAGCTGCCCTCAAACTCTGAAATCTCTCGGTTTTTGTACTTGATTTCTCCTTTTGCAGAAAACAGGTACTCGCTAGTCAGAAGGGCTGTGTACCGGGATGAAGAGGAAATAAAGCCATCATCCACAAAATCCATTTGTGGGTTTGATGTTGTAAGGGATGTTGAGGGCAGTAGTTACTGAGATGTTATGGTATCTCCTACTTTTTTGTCTTTGATGCTTGCCTCAAGTCGGCACTGTCAATTCTATGTGTGCCTGCATTATTTCCTACTGGTGCTGATGCTCACTGTTCTTGTTGGGCTCCAGCTCAATTTGTTTAAAGACTCATTCTCAACTGAAGTCATTGAAACGTTGTGGTAGTTGATTTGTCTCTGTGCTCTTTGGCTTTTGCTGGCCAGCGGCTGCATGGGATGAAGAGGACAGTGCAGAATCTGTGATTTATCTATTCAATAAATTTGCATAAATAAGGTAGTTTTATCCTTTGTCACCTGACAAGTTTCCATAAAACATCACAAACTTAGGAGGAAAATAGACAAATTCTTGCATTTTATATGAAATATAATTGGCAGCAATGTTTAAAAGATATTTTTCTGCCTGTGGTATTGTTCATGGCAACCAGAACGACATAAACGCTTTACACAGGTTCTGCAGCCAAATCCAGTTTCCTTGGGCTTTGCTCCTTTTACACTGATGCAACAATGGTGGCATCTTCCAAACTTGAGAAGCCCAAACTCAATGAGATTGACAGAATCTTGCTCTCTTCTATGAATAGAGTGGGAGGCACTGCTGGTGGCGGGCTAGGCTGACGGCGGCAAGAAAAATTTCCAATCAACTTGTGGATGACTCCAGACATAAATGGCTAATGGCTTTGGGGGCTTTTCTGGTGCTGGCATGTTCATAATTTTGAAATTTTCCTTGTAGTTAATGTATGCATTCACCATGATTGCATCCAAAAAGTTCACAAACATTCTTACCCACCACCTCCTTGACTCATGGTCGATTGCATAATTACGCACTAACTGGACATATGCCTGTCAACAGTACCCATATTCTTGTTGTAGTCAACTGTACAGGGTGGGCGAGGTAAAATTGCATTTTCACCTCTTCTCAGTTTGCGAGAGATTGTGCAATTACCATGAGAGTAGTGCACATTTGATAGGAAAGAGACATGTTTTCTATCTTTCCACACTGTGCAAACTGTTGTTTTGCATGCCACAGTGTGAAAATCACCCCGATTCATCTGCTTTAGCAGGTTTTTATTCTGCAAAGCCTTTGGGGATTCTTTGCGGTTTGTTCTTATTGTCCCCACAACATTGATTGATGACTCCTTCAGCTCTTGCAATAGGGGAATGCAGGTAAAGAAGTTGTCAATGTACACTATAGCTTCCTTATCACAAAGTTGCATAACAAGGTCCGTAACAACTCGATGTGCTAAGCCTCTCTCAGAATTTCCACCACTTTTGCCTGTATACACTTGAAAATCATACAGATATCCACAGCATGAACAAGCCAATTCCCAGATTTTGGTGCCCCTTTTGTTCAGTTTCATAGGAAGATATTGCTTGAAAGGATTTTTTCCTTTTCCTTTTACCATATGTTCATCGAAACAAACTTTCTGGCCAATATTGTAAGCTTGTTTGAATTTTTCTCTCATGACATTGATCATTGGCCATAATTTGTACAGCTTATCATAGCTCTCATCAGTAGGAGCAGGTTGTCTTGAATTGTCAGCCAAATGAAAATTCTGCCACAGTTGCCAGTATCTGTTTCTGGTAAAAAACATTTTGTATTGCGGGAACAGCAAAAACCCAATCACGAGAAAAGTAGTGATCAAAATTAGGTAGCCTGTGTACAGCCATAAAAAATAGTGCTCCAACAAATGCTTTCATTTCTTCTTTGTTGGTATCATTGAACCAAGATTTTCTCTGTTTCTATGCAACGTAAATGTTAGTTTGTTCCACTTAAACATTCCAGAGTTCTTCTGGAAATAGAAGACTAAAAAAATCATATGGCTCAGACTCGGTAACTTGAAGGTTGACAGGACCATGTTGTCCTCTAAAATCAGGAAATAAAACAACAATATCCTCATCAAGATTTCCTCACCTTACAGTTGAAACTTCTGCACTACCCCAGTTTACAGGGGATCGTGATCGCACCCTTCTTGTAGTGGTTCCATGCACCCTTCCTCCACGTGGCCTTCCTCGGCTTCTTCCACTTGTTCTTCCTCTAGTGGATGTTGTTGTTTCATTTTGCCGTGCTTCGCCTTCACTGTTACTTGACTGATCTAGCGAATAATCTTTGTGCTCAATAGCCCTTTCCGAATTGTCTGAATCATCAGAGTCCGAGCTAGGCTCAAACATATCACTCGCATCATCTCCATCTGTGCCTTCAAAGTCAGAGATATCACTATCATCGGGAACATCCATGACAATCCTGCGAACTTCTTCCGCAGTGTAATATCTTGTTCTTCTCCCAGCCATGTTGTTATCCTTCTGCGGATGTTTTAGCAATTTTAAGCAAAAAATGACTCAGTGCTAGGTTGAAATGTAAAGATTGATTTACCGCCATTTTTAGATATCCTTCCGGGCATTTAAATCAAAAGGTCGGAGAAAAACCGGCAAATTCAAGTGATATATCGAAGAGAACTACATGAAAAAAAATTCAGAACACTGAAAAACAACCTCAAACATCAGAATGAGGCTGAAAGCTGCATTAAGAGCAATCCCCTTCATGTTAGAGGCATGTTTTGTCCATGATGTCATATGTGCAGAATAATCTGCTCTTGTCAGATTAAGGGTTAAGGGAAAAGGGTCACTAATACATCTGTAAATACGGAAAAGACAGTTGTTTAGAATAGTCTACTACTGCACAAAAAAGTAAGGTACCCACCAGTGCCTGCTTAAGAGATTTTTTACATAGAAGAGAACATTATCAAAAGAATAAGGAAATGACAGTAAATTTAACAATGCAGTTGAAAGTGAAAAATTAAGAAAAATGGGCCAAACAATGACTTAATTTATATTAATTTTAAAAATTCTCATTTTTGTTACTTTTCAATTTACCTACAAGGGTTCATTATATTAGGCGATCTACATAGTTAATAGTAAAAATAATTCATCTAAATGGAAAAGTAATTTAGCAAGAGATGGGAGATATTTAAAACAATTCAAGATAATAATTATGTACATGCTGTATGACCTGTA